AGAGGAGTGTTAAGAGTGAAAAGAAAAGGCAGGAAAGCAGTCATGGAAAAATGGTCAAATTAAGGGAAAAAGGAAGAAAAAGTAGGGGAGAAAAAAAGGACTGAGAAAGGAAGAGGACGAAATAGAAAAGAAGAAGGAAGCAAAGCAAAATTGTGAAAGAGTGTCCTTCTGCCCTGTTAGGCAGAGCGATGCAGCGGCAGGACAGCAAACAGCCCCAGGCAGTAGCACTCGTTATTTCCATCCTAGCTGATGTCATTGATTGCTTTTCTCCTCCTTTGTCATGCTTGCTGACAGAGTCGTGGGACTTGAGACTCTGTTCCTACCCAGCCCAGGCAAAGGTTTCTTTTCCAGTTCCATAGGAGAACAGTCTCATGTGCATTTTGAGATGCTTCCAAATGCCATGCATCAGCAGACATGGGGAGGTGAAAGAGGCAGGGCTGGGCCATTTGGGACCATCTTCTGTCCAAGCAGGTGGACCCCCTGAGTCTGTCCTTTGCAAGCGATGACTTTATTCCTCAGCTGTGATGTTGGGAAACTCCTGTAAGACTTTCTTTCTCACTTTAATACCACCTTGATGTCATTCTGTTGGTATTACTATTTCTTTTTAAATCAGTCTTTCTTTTTCCCCTCTTCTTCCTCCAAGGAAATTTTCCTTGCCAGCCTCAGATCCCACAGCATCCAACCACCTTCTGTCAGGGGGTTTAATTAATCAGAAGAAATAAAACAAACGATGCTTCATTTGCCAAAGGGAAGAAGTGTAGGAGGTGGGAAGGAAGACGAAGAGGACAGAGAAATCTTAAAAATGTAAAAAGAAAGCAGAATTCTAAGATATAAAAGCCTAAGCCTTTAGGATGTTTTATTCCCAAAGAAGTATCTCTTACTACAGGCAGTGTTTTTTTATAGTTATCCACTCTCACAATACCAACAGAGCTGGCTGGATGAAGGGGTCAGAGAGGATGTGGAAGTGAGGGGAATTAAGGTTATTGTGTTTTGAGTGCTGGGATAAACTCTACTCATCCATTAAAATCCAAACTCAATTTCTCATGTTGCTCTCAGATGGCGTGAGTTGCATGTCTTGATTTATTTGTTTTGTTTTGTTTTTTTTTTTTTTGCTTTAATGGAGCTCCTCCCCGACTTTTATCCAGTTACCCATGAAAAGTCAGTGAGACAAGACCTACTTAAATCAAATGTCACAATCGATGATCATCCCGGGCCACCGTTTGTGTGATGTGAACTCATATTGCCGAAAGCGAGGAGCAGGGAGAGAAAAGAGGGTTGAGACTGGAATGAGAGAACACAAACCAGGCCACGTCTGAGAAGCTTGTGCTCCCCAGTTTATCACAACCATCTCTGAGGTGGGGTAACTTGGGTTCTGCAGGAAGCAAGCAAAACAGAGATGGCAAAGGGAGAAGCTGTGATTTTGTGCCAGAGATTGCATCTCTTTTCCATATCCTGACTGAATCAAAAACTTCTGTTCACAGAAGATTCCCTTACACATATCAATTTATAACGAGCAGGATACAATATTTCAGCACTCAGAGCACACAGAACGTGTCCAGTTTCAACTTTTTTAAATGAGAGACAATTTGAAAGGTTAATATTTTCACTGAAATTTCTTACTTTGTGTTTACCTACTTCCCCCCAAAAACAGCTTCTAACCTTCCACAAATATTTGGCAGGAGTAAATTCTCTTGGTGTGAATAGAGTCATATGAGTTAAAAATCTCAGTGATACAAGTCTTCATAGAGGTTAAGAGGAAGAATCAATGTGTGAACTGAAGCCTTTTTTGGAAGTAGTTCAGGAAGCTCTAGGTGAGGGAAGATGCAGAACCTTGCTGGATGGATTCACAGAATCACACAGAATCACAGAATGGCCAGGGTTGGAAGAGACCTCAAGGATCATCCAACCCCCCTGCCACATGCAGGGCCCCATCCAATCTGGCCTTGAACACCTCCAGGGATGGGGCATCCACAACCTCTCTGAGCAGCCTGTTCCAGCACTCTCTATAAAGAATTTCCCCCTAACATCCAACCCAAATCTCCCCTCCCTCAACTTAAAACCATTTCCCCTTGTCCTGCAGTTACCAACCCTTTCAAAGAGTTGATTTCCCTCCTGTTTGTAGGCTCCCTTTAGGTACTGAAAGGCTGCAATGAGGTCACCCCACAGCCTTCTTTTCTCCAGGCTGAACAAGCCCAGCTCCCTCAGCCTGTCTTCCTAGGAGAGGTGCTCCAGTCCCCTGATCATCTTCGTGGCTCTCCTATGAACCCTCTCCAACAGCTCCCTGTCTTTTATGTACTGGGCGCTTCACACCTGGACACAGCACTCCAGATGGGGCCTCACAAGAGCAGAGAGGGACAATCACCTCCCTGTCTCTGCTGGCCACCCCTCTTTTGATGGAGCCCAGGATACCATTTGCCTTCCAAGCTGCAAGGGCACACTGCTGGCTCATGTTAAGTTTCTCATCTGTCGAGACCCCCAGGTCCTTCTCCACAGGGCTGCTCTCAAGGATCGCTCCTACCAGTCTGTATGGATGCCTGGGATTCCTCCGACCCAAGTGCAAAACTCAGGTCCCTCTGAATGGCATCCCTTCCTTCTACTGTGTCAACCGTACCACTCAGCTTGGTGTCGTCAGCAAACTTGCTGAGGGTGCACTCGATTCTGTCATCGATATCATTGATAAAGATGTTAAAGAGCACTGGTCCCAAGACAGAACCCTGGGGGACACCACTCGTTACCGGCCTCCACCTGGACATAGAGCCATTGATGACTAATCTCTCTGCGGCCTTTCAACCAGTTTCTTATCCATTGAGTGGTCCACCCATCAAATCCACATCCCTCCAATCTGGAGGTAAGGATGTGGTGGGGGACCATGTCAAAGGCCTCGCTCAAGTCCAGGTAGACAAGGATTGATGAGGACTGACGAGGCTCATTGCCATGTTGTTCCATGTTTATACACAGTTGCTCATAATTCAAAGGACTGAGTCATTGCCTGAAATCTAGTCCCACTGTTTCAGCAATCTGAATTAGGTTCAGCATCCAGAACATTGGTATGTATGGATTTGCATAAGATGTATGGTGTTAGATTCCGAGAATCCCAAGCCTCCTGTTTCACGAAGGAAACTCAGTGAAGCCGTACAGTCATGTTAAGTTACTGACATGTCAGAGTTAATAAGATGAGCAGGAAGGAAATGTTGCAGAGTTAGCACCACACTGCAATTCAGTTTGGCTTCCAGTCTTCAACTGATCTGTATCCAGTCAGCTTTGAGTAAAAATCCCACAAGCTGCCTTTACTCCTTTGGGTGTATAAACCCAGTTGGGTATTCAAGCCTTTGAATTCATCGCTACATTTTGTCTTAGATCCCTTAAGCTCTTGTGCCAGCCTTCCCAATAGCCCCTGAGGGGTTCATGGCAGCTCTATGGTGAAAGTTTTGTTCCTCGTTAATTCCCCCCTTGAGATTCAAAATGTGAGAAGTGCTTTTGGTTGAAATATGCAAGCAAGGAAGATCTTACCAAGCCCTTCAAACTGTCAGGATAGTTCAACTCAGATAAAAATATATTGGGGAGGTTCATCCCTTCTTCGTAGTGGGCTCTGTGGAGTAAATCTAACTGTAGGCCTTCAGTCAACAGACATATTTGCTTTGCCCATGTGTTGAGTTGGCCAGACTCCATATAAGCACAGCACCGAACCTTGCCTAATATATTTTGCTTTGCAGAAGGCTCAGCAGCCTGGAACAGAGCTGCAGTAACCTCTGCTTCATGATGTCCTGCTGATTGGAGGTTCAGGTTGAGCAGCCTCATGCCTGCCAACAAAATAGTCTGGACAAGTCCTCAGAGGACTGCCTGTTCCATTCCCAAATTCATGCGTAATTGATTTTTCTTTTTTTAATTTTTTTTTTTTTTCTACCTTGAGCTCTTGCTATGTCAGAAACCATCTCACTTCCATAGCTGCGGCAATAGGTGTTGGTACTGTGCCAATCTAATGACAACCTTGACTGTGTGCTCCCACACCTTTGTGTACTGCTTAATCACTTTAAATAGAGGGGCTCTGGTACATCTGCTGCATGGTGGGGTCCCTGCTTCTCTGTCCTCTCTCCAGCAGAGATCACTGATGTGGAAATGAGAAACGTGCTGAATAAAAAGCCTGCAGCTGAGGGAACCAAGTGGGAAAGAGATCCTAAGAACAAGGGGAGTTTAGTGATGTTAGTCTCTGGCATGTAGTAGCTGGTTATGGACTTAGTCCCAGGGAATGCAGAGAACTAGATTAGGAGTAGTTACAACACATGTGTTTGTTCTTGGTATTGCAAGGTGTGGTCAGTGGCAGATCTCTCGTGTTGACAGCAAAGGAGAACCATTGCATGCCAGCATTTTCCGTAAGAATCCCTGCATATGAAGAAATGCCTTGTCAAGTAGCATAAGAGCAGTGAAGTGATGTATGGTATGACTAGATGCTGCTCCCTGGGGAGGATATACATCTTATTTTTCCTTTGCTTGCTTCAGCTCCTCCCTTGCCAGATGGATGTTTGTAGTCGGTGGAAGATTTTCACCTTCTTTTCATCCTCCAAGCTTCAGCAACAGCCATTCCCAGAAGAGCTCATTTGTAATCGTTCTAGTGTAGGCAGAGCTTTCTGCTGTTTCCTCATTAATTATCTTTGAAGTTCTGCACTGGATGTGAAAGGTCTGATCTCCTCTTGCAAACCTGTGACTTTTACACATCTCACTACGAATATCAGATTTTTAAACCCAAATTTAACACTGGTGTGTGTGGGAGCAGAGTGAAGTCCAAAGAGACAGGGTCAACCTGAAGTAACTCATGGGCCTCTCTCCTCTTTATTTGTATGTGTAGTGTGATGTGAAGATCGATTGAGTTGATGTACAATCAGATAATTAGGAGAAAAGTTCTTGCCACGAAATTGAGCTGGTAGCGTTTGCTGAGCATCTTCATAATTTTTTTTTTTTTTTAATTTATTTTTTTTTTTGATGTGTTACTTTCTCTCTTTCAGAACATGGAAAAGGTGCTGGTCCCTTCTGTCACGTTAATTGTAGGCTGTGGAGTATCTTCGCTGACACTTTTGCTGTTGATTATCATTTATGTCTCTGTTTGGAGGTATGGCTTTCATTCTTTTCTCTTCTTACTGGGGAAAGTAACTGTCTCTTGATCTGCATGGATCCTGGAGGTTTTGCTGTCCCATTTTGGGTGTCTGTTGCCTGAGGAAGAACTACTTTGTAATGAGTGGGTCTTGTAAAAAGTCATCATGGTGGCTTAGTTGGCATTACTCTTTCCTTTTAGTGCCAGAGAAATTAGTACAGTGAAATTAGTACTATGACCTCATGTAGTCTCATTGTTCTGTTTTCAAAAGCTGTATGTGCTGTTTTCTATGCCTTTATATAGCCCAGGAAACCTTGTTTGCAGAGAGGTGGACGTGCACTGCCTCCTGGCAGGCAAGTTGCTTCAAGGTATTTTGGGCTGGGTCTTTGATAACATCAAAACATCCTTGATCCATTATGAAAACACCTGGCCTGAAGTACTAACAGTACTTTTCAGGAGCTTAAGTGTGGAGTGTGAAGAAGTGTTACATCTCGTGGGCTAAATAATTCTCTAATCCCTTAGCTTTGTTCTGCCTTTGGCTTCAGATGCATATGAGATTCCTTGATACATCGCATTTCAAAGAGCTCCTGTACACCTATGTGGAGATCAGATGCAACCTTAAAGTGCCCCTTTGTAGGGGTGAGAGTGATTTTATAGGAGAGTCGTATTAAACAAAGGTCCACATTGGCCCACATCCCTGTAAAATACATGTTGGTGGACTATTTCAAGTCTGAGAACCCAAGATATGCATGGGATTCACAGCATTCCACAAGAACTGAGTTTACACTATGTAGACCCATGCCTTTCCTAAACTTGTGGCAGACATGCTGAGAGCTTCATTACTCTAGATAAACAAAAAAGGAAAATCAGAACCAGGTGAATGACCATGAAATTAAAAAGGAATGGCTACAAAGAATGCACTGTTCATGACCCTTTGTGAGAAGAGATCAGTGCAGGACTCTCACTTTTCAAATGACTCTTCTTAGTAGGAAGGAAAAGGTAAATTCATTTTAGATTTGTGAATTGAGATAATGTTTTCTACCCTTTATTAGAGGAAAGAGACAAGAGAGTTAAAAATGAGCAAAAAGAAAATGCACCTTTTATTGATACTGTGACAGTGCATAGTGGCTAGTTAATTATGGTGAGTGCTCTGAGTTGAAGACTGATCATAATAACATTTATCTAGAACTCAGGTTTTTCCGTGCCTGGGGTATCATTGGATCTGCTCAAGTCCTTGTCCTCTCCTGCTTTTCCTCAGGCTGGGCAGCACTGGGCAGCGCTGGTAGGTGACTTACTGGTGTCACTGGTGTCAGGATCAAGTGGAAAGTTAGGAGAGAGGAGTGAAGAGCAAGTGTTGGAGTCTCACCCTCTCTTTCCTATCAGAAATAAGTTCAGGATCTGAAACTTAAGTTCAGATATGAGGTTGAATCAGTTTGGAGCATGACGGAGTCATTTGGAGTAATGCAATATGTTTTCTTCCAGGAGCATGCCCCTCAATATTTACTGTCATTGAGGACAGTAAAGTTAATTGTCTGCCCTGTTTAAAATATACCCTTTTTAATTTCCAATTGCAGCCTTTGTGTTACTATGCCTACGCCCAAAATGATCAAGTTCAGTATGAATGGGGGGACATGTCTATGGAAGGCTTGAATGGGCATTTCTGATTTAGCAAGGGATGGACATGCATTTCCAAGTGATCCTGAGACCAGATATATCTTGATTAAAGGGCTCTCTATCCTAAGTCTCTCTGTGTAAATATTTGTAAAGCATGATCAAGTGATCTCTAGAATTTCTCTTTGGTGCGCTGAGTTTGTTTCATTTCTTATCTGTAGATCATGTTTTCATGTTTTCTGAATTTCACAGCATTCCCGTGGCTGAGCCCTGAGCACTCTGTGTGTCCTTTTTATTTTAGGCATAGCTGCTGGACATGAATGTGCTTTTCTAATAATGGTCTCAGGAACATCATATTCAACATTATCTCCTGGCTTTCACTTCGTTTTGTCCCTAGATGTTATACAGTTTATCAGACAGCAGCTGGAGGAATGTTCACAAGGGGATCAGCAGTATTATTCCAGCTGTTGTTGCTAAAATACAGGAGCCATATCAAAGTAAACTACCTATCTGCTTAGTCTTCTGTGGAGCACACCCACCAGAGCTCAGCTGTTTTGGGGAGCTTTGGCTGTGAAATTTCTCATTCAGACCTCTGGACAAAGGCATCTGGAGCATGTACACATAGACTCAGCTTGAGTATGATCCTCTTCTGATGAATAGGCTCACTGAGGCTGACAATCTGGAAACCTTCCCAGAATTTTGCCCAACTAGGATTTGTTCATACATGGGAAGCAGAAAGATAGAAAGACAAAATAAAAAGGGGAAAGGAACATGGTGAAGAACAAGAGGCAGAGTAAAAAGGAGGTGATCCCAACTTTGGGCTGCATATCAAAGAGGAAATGGTTTTGTTCCATTCAAAACCTCCAATAATGGTTGTTTCTTAGTGGCACCTACTCAGCCATCAGCATGACCAGCATGAGTTTCTTGATGAAAGTGATCGCTTCAGAGGCAGCCAACTTGGCACAGTCTCACTTCATGCTGGACATTGTTTCCATTTGGCGGCTGTTGGTGGCCTGTTGGTGGACTCGCTCCAGTTCCCAGTAGACAGATGGCTGCAAAAACTCTGCTACAGATGGTCCATCTCTGGCCTTATTAGCAGCCTTGGCAGAGAGGTCAGTTGACACATTGGGCCGTAGAAGTGGAGTGCCCTTGTTACCTCTGGTTATGGTTGTCCTAGGTCACAACTGGAAACCATGTGTGCTGGCCATGTTTTCCACCAGCTGTATGGAAAACAGAGGCATTCAGAAAATAAATAATAATAAGAAAAAGATCTTCTCACTTGAAAGCTGACTTGAAAAATGAAAAGTGGGGAGAAACAGAATTGCTCATGGGTCAGAACAGATTGAATGACTTAGAGCTGTACTTCTTTTCGCTTTGGTCTGTGCCACTCCTTGACAGGATGGTGTTTCAGAAGCAGCCTGATGCATTTTCCATCCTTGAACCCAACTGCAGTTCAACAGCCTCCGGAATCAGAGTGACCTTTCCATAGCATGGAGATCAATGCTTGCTATCAAATAGCTCTTCAACCAGCCTGTCAGCATGTAGGGCACGGCAGCAGCTGAATGAATGCTGTATCGCTGAGAGATATCGGTGTAAGCTTTTTTCATTCCCTGTCCATAGAGGCTGAAGATTGATTTAGTGGTTGTCAGCAAGCTCTCAAGTGGCTTTTAATGCTTGCTTTAAACCCAAGAGCTCTGCTTTTTGCTGGGGAGGCTAAGGCACTCTGTGGTCCTGGTGGAAGGCAGCAGGAATGAGTAAGTTTGTGCGGAGAAGGATGTGTAGGAGCACCACGAGAAAGCAAAGTTGGCTCAGTGTTTGCAGAGAAGAGGGGAGCAGAATGGATACAGAGAGACAAACTGCAGGGTTTTCCTATGTTCTCCTTCTGTCTTGGGCTTCCCCACATCCCACAAGACCCAGGCCAGAGCAGAAGCTCCCTACATTTGCAGTGAGAGGTTTTCCAAGCTTTGGTGTCTGTGCGCAGTGTGCTTTGATAAATAAGGCAGTCCATGTTGCAGCTAAGGGATAGTGAGAAAGAACTCTGCAGACCTCTCATCTGGCTAAGCATCAAGGCCTCCGTGTTTTCCATCTCTGCCATGAGTTCCTGCCTTCTTTTGCCAAATGTCCTGGATAGGAATCCTGATTTCCTTCTGTGGAATATCCCTGAGCTAGAGTTGATGCAGGAAAAAAAAAGCAAGAATCATAGCTTGTAAGTGTTCAGTAATGAGGTCAGGCTGACAAAGAGCAGTATGGAAGCATTAGGAAAGCTGGTTCTCAACTCTATTTGAAACTGATAAAAGACGTGAAAGGCATGAAGAAGGGTTTCTGTAGGTACAACAGCACTAAAGGATGATCCAAGGAAATGCTGAATAGGAAACATGTTCTGATGGAGAAGGACATGGAGAAAATCAGGGTAATTAATCACTGCCCTCTTCATCTTGGTCTACTGCCAACATTTGCTTCCATGGATCCAGGTCCCAGAATCTTGGAGAAGAAACTGGGGAAAAAAGTCACTATGCATCACCATGAAGGAGAAAACTGAGAACTATGTAAAATAGATATTTGCATGCCCATGGCTTCAAATGGGATGATTAGTGTGTTGAGATGGAGCTTGCTGTACAATAGTGCCAGTATCTATCATCTGGATAGGTTCAAGGTGGTTTGAAGAAGTGTTATATTCATCTTTAAAAAGGGCAAGGAGTTGGATCTGCAGAACTACTTGCTGTTCAGTCTGTTCACAGACTTTGGAAAGATTAAAGAGCAAATAGTGAAAAAGACTTTCTCCAAGCAAAATGATGGACAAGAGAGTGATTGGGAATAGACAGCACATATTTTTCAGGGACAGATTGCACCTGACTGACCTGCTTTCCTTCTGTGATGGGATGGCTGGTAGCTTGGATATTGAAGAGAAGTGGGCATTGTATATTTTGTCATTACCGAGGCCTTTGACACAGGCATCTTAGTAAACAAACTAGTGAATTTTGGATTGGATTAATCTGCTAAAGCAGATTAAAATCTGGCTGTAGTTCATGCAGGCTCTGGGTTAAAGATTTGAAGCCTAACCAGCAGCTGGTTACTAGCAGTATCTTTCAGTGGTTGGTGCCAGGACCAATATCATTTAATATCTTCATTAACAGCCTGGATGATGGGGAAAAAGGCACTCTTGGCAAGTTCTTGGATGTCTATACCAATATGGAAAGAGTGATTCATATGCTGGAGAGCAGCAATGACAAGCTTCAACAAATTGGAGATATAGGGTGGAGAAATTTTACACCAAAGACAAATGAGCACTTCTGCACCTGGAACTGAACAACTACATGCAGCAGGACAAGCTGGAGGCTGGCTGGCTTGGTAATGTCTCCAAAGAAGCCTCAGGGAATCCAGTTGGTGACAATTTATACATAACTCAGCAATGCAACTGTTCAACAGTGAAGGCCTGCACTAATAGTAATATAACCAACAGGTCAAGGGAAATTGTTATTCCCCTCTACTTGACTTTCTTTAAGGCCACATCTGGAATAGTATTTCCATAATACCCACAATACCCCACAATACAGGAGAGAGATCAACAAACTTAATCGAGTCCAGTTTAAGGAGCAATAGAACATAATGCTCAAGGAGAGGCACAGGGAACAAGGAAAGCTTGGGTAGATTGAAGAGAAGAAGTCTGTTAAGGAGGAGACATGGAGAAAGTGGAGTCATAAAACTCACAGATGGATACAGTGCAGGATTTAGGGGCAAAAACCACCAATTGCATCATGAAAAATTCCAACTGGATTGAAGAAAAAATGGCTCTTCACCATGAGTGGTTAAAAACTGAAGCAAATCACCCAGAAGAGGTTATGGCACTTCCCATTCTTAAACGTTTTTGAAATTTGATTGGACAATGCCCTGAAAAACATGACAGGACTTGGAAATCAGCTCTGGTTTGGGCAGAGGATTGAATTGGCAACTCCAGAGGGTTTTTTTTCCAAGCTAAATTATTCTGATATTCTGATTCTACAAGGTGCCAACTCACACTTCATTTTTTGAAGGTTCAGGGATCCGGGGAACAGGAACTTCTGGTAGATAACAGCAAGCATGGAGAAAGAAAAGGCTTTTCAGGGGGGAAAAAATGTGAAAACAGCTGTTTATTAACCCCTTATTTTGACATGCAGACTACATTTACACTCAACTCATTTTTTACTATTTCTTTTTTTAACAGAGGAAATTTCCTAAATGAGCATTAATGCCATAGTGTTCCTACACAGACTTAGCACATCCCATTCTTACCAGCACATTGTCCAAATCCCCCTTTCTATCCCATAGAAGCTGCTGACTATAGATTTGACACATATTTTACTTCACACAATCAGAACATCCGAAGATTGATGGCTTGATATCCTACAAATGGAGTAAGATTCAGATGCCCCTTATTATTGTATTTGAAACAAGTAAAACAGCAAAATCTGGGATCAGACTGGCTAAGGAATAACTCCAGGCTTGTTTTACTTGCAGCAAATTCAGTTTCTAGCTGAGCTGGAAACCTAAATTTTGAAATGTGTTATGGGGTTGGAGTGTGTTTCAAGAAAGAACTACTTATAAACCAGTTTTCTAACAAAGCTGATGTAAAGTGAGTCTGCTTTTCATCAGTGACTGTTTTTTGTATCCAGAAAAACATATTCTCAACATTTGTATTTATCTAGAAGGAAAACTAGCAGGGAAGTTAAAATCCAAGTTTCACAGTCTCCAATAGATCTAAAGCACAGATTCTTTCTTGGCTCAATACAGATATGCACTAAACTCATCTTGTCCTACCAGTCAGAAATGCAGACTCTACAGCCAGAGTGCGACTGACACACTCTTGCTAAAATTAATTAATGAAATTAAATTCTTAGTATAAATAGTTGATGTACTGGAATATACAAAATAATCCTGCATTAGCCTCCAGGGATGAGCTGTCTGGTTAATAGATCTGTTTCTAATTTTTCTAGACATCAGTTTCTACTCTTTACTCATCTGGTATTCAGGCAGGGCACTTACTGCATCACTGAGATTACTCATACGTGTAAGGGTTGGTTATGGTCAGGTCCTGAGTCAATCCTTAAAGACTTGCACTTTTGCAATTCCCTTTTAATTTTATTAGATACATAAAAGCACCTTCAAAGAAATTTTCCTCTGTAGCCAGTCATTTGAATTAACTGTGCACATACTTCAGCAGCAAGTTGGTGCTGTGCTGCACATTGTAAATGAGAAATGACAAGTGGCTTGCTCCTGCAAGGTGCTGAAGGCAACAGCTTCCTAACTTGGATTCCTGATGTCCCAGACCCACGGTTACAGCTACATATTTGGCCTAGTTTTGAGAAGCGTTAAACCTCTCCATCTGGAAAAACAAACAAACAAAAAAAAACCCAAACCAACCACAGTTTCTTTTCACTTCTGGATCTGTTGTTAGGTTAAACAAAGGGGAATGCTGAATCACAAGCACTTTGTTGTGAAGATGCATGCGTTCGTAACCTGCTTTCATCGCCAGCATGCTTGTGGCTCTTCTTATTTGGGAATCTTTCCATGTGTTGCGTGTATGTTTTCTTCTAAGCTCCTTTCCAAGTCCCCTACCAAGTGAGCAGAGCTGAAGGGGACTACAGCACTCAATACTATTTTAGAAAAGGTTTAGAGTAGGGAGCAGGCTAGCCCCTGATTTTTTGGCTCATGCTCGTAACTCCAACATTGATGGGGAGGATTGAGAGGTCTGTGCACCACGCCCAAGCTCTCCTCCTCCTTTTTCCCCTTGTACTTGTCTGTTTAACACACGAGATCTGAAGAAAGTGGGCCGTCTCTTACCATGGGATTGTGTAAAGCCCAGTGGCTTCATGCAAGGTGTAACAGGGTGGATCTCCTTCCCCTCTTCTCTTTCTGCAGGTATATCCGCTCAGAGCGCTCAGTCATTCTTATCAACTTCTGCCTGTCCATCATCTCCTCCAATGCTCTCATCCTCATCGGACAGACCCAGACGCGGAATAAGGTAGGAGATACGTTGGACCTTGTTTGTTTGTTTGCTTTGCTCCTGATTTAGCGTTGAAACAATCCGCTCAGCAGTGCTTCCTCTTTTTTCTTCCATCTGTTAATTAGCAACGTGTCAAAGACATGACTAAATGGCAGATTTCAATTTTCTCTCACTCGCTCTTTGATAATTTGTCAGCATCCTCAGGGCTTTGATTAAAACCAATGTGATACTTTTGAATATCTGCCTAGAGTAGCTGGCACATGGCACGGTGAAAAAACATGGTTATTTGCGAGGCTTTAACCATTTTATTTTCCAAAAATTACAAAGGAAGACAGATTGAGAAAGAGCTAAAAAAGCAATAACACTCAGCATCTCAGCATTACATTTATTTCTACAGCAACGTTTATGCTCCAAGCCTAAAGCACTTGGCAGATGTTAAGGAAAGCAGCCACCAAGAACACCTTTCTTGGAGTGGGAAGCGTTGCTGTGCACATCATGCACATTGCAGAGCTGAGACCACAAGAGACTTGGAAGTCACAGTGCCAATTGAGCAGTGAAGATGAGAACTGAGCATGGATTTTCAAGCCATGGGCATAGATTGCAGGGTACTATCATGGCTTTTCACATTAGAGATGCAGATGGAGAGGTGTTATGTTATTGTATGACTTTTCTCCAGCTAAATTACTTTCTCTGTTGGCAGCTAGCATAACAAATCACTGCTCATGTTTAATATTTTCCTATTGTACATCTTCCTCGCTCTTCAAGTGCTCCAGCCATATTAACTCCTCTAAGCAGAAAACTGAGGCCAAAAGTGTCTTCCAGCTCCTCCTGCTGCTGAAGTCACAATCAGAAATCAAAATTTAGCTTTTAATTAACAGTAACCAGCCAATTTATTCGAGTCTGGACCTTGACATCCAGAGCATGCTGTCACTTTTGGAAGCATTTCTGCAGAGAAGCCTCAGGCTTTAATGAATCACAGAGACTCATTGCTATGCGAGGCCTTTTAGGTCAGAGCAGGGTGATGTTTTAAAGAAAGCTTTACAGCTACTTGAGTCATACCTGTGGAGAAAAGTTTGGGGAGATGCAATCAAGTGGCCCTGTTGCTCTTAAACCAACACCATTCAGAAGCATTGCAAAGCAGAGCTGTCTTTCATGGTCAGCATGGTTTGCCTGGAGCAAGAATTGAGAAGAGGGTGATCAGCTCTGTATTGCTATTCTAAGGGTGCATTGCAACCCCAAATGTGTGCGAGGAGCAACTTTTCATAGAAGGAAGACTGAGAGATGCTCATCATGTCCGACCATGAGTGGACCTCCTATTTGGTTATCCTTCTTCACCCCAGGATAGGAGATGGATATTGTTAACCCTCTCCCATCTCCTTAACAACAGTTGGGAGCTCAGTTTCCTTCTTACACTTTTTCTCATAGTTGCTTTGGATGTTAAGTGTCAGAGCTGTTAGTGAGGATTCAAAGCTCCCGGCTCTAATTGCGTGAGGCAGATTAGTTCTTTGGACATACATATGCATGAAACACCATAAATAGAAAGGTTATTCTTGGGATTCCACTCTGCTGTCTAGTAAACAGTCTCTATCACAGAGCAGGGAAAGAAAACTGAACAAAGAAGGGATGAAAGACTGTAAATTTGGAACCTATTCACATTCAATCATTGATAGTGGAGCTTCCTAAAATATTAGTGATTGAATTATAATTGCAGTTACACTAGGAGAATTTCTACAGTACTAGTTTCCTGGGAAATGCCAAATACTCCTGTCATTTTCGTCTGCATAACCTCAAAGGCAAGACTCCACACCTGGATTTGCTATGCTTTTTAAAGATGAAAGGCCCAGGAAAAGGCTAAAAAATTGCAGTCAGCAATAATGTGATACAAAAGAAATGAATTCAGTGTATCTCAGAGATGGGGCTATGTGCTGGATGGAAGCAAATTTCTCCTCTTTTAGAAAAACAAGGACTAATGGCCTTTACAACCATATCTCCTTGGGGAAATTGGGAAAACAAGAGGGAAAATTCTCTTGTTCCCAAATCTGAGTAAAATTATCTGCTTGTTTTTAATGGATTTTAAATGAGGGCCATTCACTGTCATAAATGTGCATTGTTTTTGTGGTGCTCCTCTCTCTTCTTTTCCCCTTTCCCTCAGAACTACCTAGTTGAGTGAGTATTTCTGGAAAATAAATGTCCCAGGTGGAAAAATGGAAAGCAGACGTCTTTTCTCCCCTTTACAAACTGCTGGCAAAGAGGGCAGAAAAACACTGCTGATGCAGAACAAAATCAGCTCAGATAAACTGATGCTGTCATTTCTGGCAGTAGTTAAAAAAAAAAACAAAACAACAGTTGTAAAATATAAATTTCTTAAAGTACATTCCTGGAAGTAACTTGTTTGTAACTGTTTTACATAGACCTGTAAGCTGATGCATAGCAACCACCTTTGGAAGATTCTTTTGAAAACATGAAAATTACTTCAAATTATCACATTGAGCTGGGCTATTTGTAGTGATCTGTCATGTACTTGCAGGCAGAATACCAAAGGTTTCTGTGTCAAATACAAATACGGAATGAAAAGGCAGTTCCTGTCTCAAAGAACGCAACGTCTAACTTTTATTCCCAACTTCTGATAATGTCTGTCAGTGCCAGTGTATGAATTGAGGGCAATTCAATAAAATCATGATAAAAGATGCTCGGTGCATGAGAGCTCTCTGCTGAAAGATGCTGGTGGATGAAAAAAGAGGAAGGTTCAGTGACCGTAAACCCAAAGTCCATGTTTCCTGATATAACTCAAAGCGGAGAAATTCTTCGCTATTCACTCCCACCCCCATCTGTCCTCAATGCCTTAAGCCAATTTTTTTTTTCACCCAGAGTCACTTTTAAAGTTTATTTGCTCTCCCTTCTCTTTGGGAGTTTCTCTCCATCATTTTGTTTCACGTTCATTCACAGTTTCTTCTTCTCCAATGGTGCAAATTAAGCATAGCCCTGGCAGAGTTAACAGAGCGGCACCAATTTGCACCAGTGAATGATTTGGGTTTGCTGAGTTAAAAACAAAGATGAGCTTGTCAGCTTTCCAGCCCATCTCCCCGCCGCTACAGGATTGTTCTCCATAATGCATTTGCTAGTACTTTCCCTAGTTTAATTTTAAATGGCTTGAGCTCTCTCTGTGTCCCTTGAGAGGTTTCCTTGCCAAGTTGTAGAGCTCACCATTATGAAATTTATTCTGCCATTTCATTAATTTTTCCTTCCCAACCCCCCCCTCCCTTTTTTCTAGTAGCTATGTGCTCTTGGACAAATCATGCTTTCAGCCCTTACCAAGCCCCTACCAGCCATGTTTTTACCCCAGCTCTCACACCTTAACTATGTTTCTTTGCAAAGAGCCATCTTTCCCAGTCTGAATTGCCTTTCTCTGATTTCATTACTGCAAAGCACCAATGGTACGGTGCTTTGCAATCCTTTTGAGCTGAGATTAGTGCACAGCTTAATAACTGCTCCATCCTCTCTGAAAGCATCAGGGATTTGATTTGATCACTGGAAAATACTGCTGAAGCCAAACAGCACAAGGGCAAGGCATGGATTCAAACTTCAGTATGGAGATGTGTCAGGGAAGGTCATGTGGGAGATCAGGAAAAGGTTCTTCACCAAATGGTGGTGGACATGGAAGGCTCACCAGGGCAGTGGACATGGCACCAAGCTGCCAGAATTCAAGGAGCATTTGGATACTGCTCTCATACATAGGGTTTGAATTTTGGGTGGTCTTGTGTAGGGCCAGGAGTTGGACTCAGTGATCCATATGGGTCTCTTCCAACTTGGGATATTCTATTGTTGTATGAAAATAGTTAACCACAGGCTTGGAGCTCTCATTTAAGAGCAGTCAGTTTCTGTGCAGTGCTTAAATTTGAAACAAACACTTCAATCCTATGCTAGGTCAAAGCTCGAGGGGGAAGCTGCCTCTTCCTGAGAAGTCTTTTCCTTTGCTGATCCCTGTGACCTTCCTTTCCTTCCAGAGCCCGATTTGGAAGCAGCTCCCTCCGCCTGCCTCTCTCCTCTCTCCTCTTTCTCACCTCTCATATGTGCTCCTTTCCTCCTTTCTCCAGGTGATATGCACGCTGGTGGCGGCTTTCTTGCACTTCTTCTTCCTCTCCTCTTTCTGCTGGGTGCTGACCGAGGCCTGGCAGTCCTACATGGCCGTGACGGGTCGGTTACGGAACCGCATCATCCGCAAGCGCTTCTTGTGTCTCGGATGGGGTGAGGATTGTGGGTCTGCATAGAAGTTCCATTGGGCCAGGGGAGAGAAAAAACAAACAAACAAACAACACTGTTCCATCCTAGCGTGAAGATCAAAGAGTATTCTGGATTGGTGCTGTGCAAAAAGCTTAGTTTGACACCCTTAAGTGTGTCAAAAAGGGCTCAGATGGTTGAAAATGAGCAAAAGCCAAAAGCTGCTATCTCCACCCAACAGCAGTATGAAGGAGATGAGCTGGGAAGGGGCTATGTGTTCATTGCAAGGGCACAGTGGGGCTGGGGGGGTTCTCCTGGCTCTGGCTTTCTTCCCTACTTCTCTTTTATTTTTCTCTCACTGTCTCCTTCCATGTGCGACCCGGGGATAAGCAAGCTCTGAAATGCTGTCTCCATGGCAGCAGGACCTTTCATAGACAAATAAACTATGAGACCAGTGCAGATGCTTGTAACTAATTTTCCTCCCTCTGCCTCTTCCGTATGTTTAATTTATTAGCTTTAAATGATGCATTCTGTAGTTGAAAACAAACGCAAACCCGTAACCTGGGCTCTCAAAGCAACATGAAGCTTGTGTTTGAAAGGAGTGACTGAACAAAAAGTTGCTCAAAAGCAAGCAGAGGAAAAAAGAGAAAGAGAGAATCAGAGAGCACTGTGCTTCTAAGCTGTATTAGTGGCTCATTTCACTACTGAAGTCGAGCATGAGCATTTTGCCCCAGGCAAGATATTTCCGACGGTTATGAAAGGCCCTGATGTGATTTATTTTTGCACATCAAGAGCCATCCTCCTTCCAGCACCTGCATCTCTTCAAGTTTTGCTTAGGAGACAAAACAAATGGTGGGACTGAAATACAGTGCTTGTGCATACCAAGCCTGTAACCACACACATGCAAAACACAGACACTGTGTGCTTTTTTGTGCTTGTGCATATGTTCCAATACAAACACTGTATGTGTGACTTGAGGAACATCAGGGATATCAAATGCAAAAGACTGACAGCTTCTTTAGAGAATAAAGGTAAAAAAAGGGATGTTTTCTGATTATAAATGCTAGGACAGATGAGAGTGTTAGCTGAGGGAATTTTGGATGAGCAACATTCATAATTGTAATTTGTACAGATTTAAGGGAAAAAAAAGCCTGCATGTGTAGGAACATAATTTGCACTGTTAGTAAAATGTAGCTATTCCTGGACTAGGATGTGCTGGCTGATAAATGGTGCATAATAACTGTTTGGAATAGGTTAGGACACAAAGTGAAGAACACTCTCACCTATTAAAGCAGCAAGGGAATTTCTGGTATTTAGCATCCTCCTAGACTTCAGCTGTAGTGCTGGGATTAATGGCATCTCTAAGAGGGCAGAGGATGTAAATAAGTTTTCAAGAGCATAATCTGAAATAATTATCACAGTCAATGAGTTGATGGTTGGGCTAGATGATCTCAGTGGTCTTTTTGAACCTTAGTGATTCTGTGATTCTGTGAATTCACTTTGTAATGGGCTGATCCTCCCCCTCTGCCCCCTTTGCTTATTAACATTTTTTCAAGCTCTTGTGGGAGAACTTTGCCAAGTTCTCAGCTGTAGCTCATTGAAGCTGCTGTGGTTTTCATCAGCAGTGAGGTTTACTCCCAGTTTCCTGTTCTCCTCTTGTGTGTGCAATTTTGCCTTTTCAGAAAAGAGGTTTTTTGCAATTAGAAAAATATAAAGTTATTTAGACATGCAAACTGTTCCCTAGAAACAGTTCAATTGGCACATCTAGTCCCAGTGAAAAAGAAACAATTTGGTTAGTCTACTTACGACCATGCCATTGTTTCAATTGGATTTTTAATGTTGCCCTGGCTGAGGTTCTGACAGGGTCTTCACTTGTTTGTAACACTTATGGCTTTTGGTAGTCATTATTATCAAATGAACTTTTTCTAATGGGACGTGGTGATCTCATTACATGATTCTCCTGCTGTCCTGACAGAAAAAAAATCTTCATATCATTCATAATATGCTTTTTTTTTTTTTTTTTTTTGAATTATGACTGTAGCACTCACTTTCTTCACAAACCCTTCTAAATTTGGCCACAGCACACACAGCGTATGGCACAATCCGGTTAGAAATAGCTTTCTTTCAAATAGTCAAGAATAGATTAAAAGTTTATTGGAAATATTTGGATGTATCTATTTTTAATCTGATCACATCCCAAGGCAAAAGATACAGCAGTCCTCACTGCTCTGCTCGTTGGCTTAACTACCATCGTGTAGCTCCCCTTTCCGATAAATGCAGCTTGTACATCTGATGAGTTCACAGCCTAAGTGTGCATTTCTGCATAATTATCACATCTAAGAGAAGTACTTTGTGAGGAACAAGTTGCTATTTTGGGCAGAGTCTTAGCCGACATTCTTCTTTCCGGAGCTTCATGCATCATGTTCTACTCTTAAAAAAATCCTTTATGACTTCTTAGTGTGCATATCATGGGATGCCACCCTGATGTCATTACAGTGAATACCATGCAGGTTATGTGTTCAAAGTATCCAGATGAGGTGTGAAGAAAGCTCAGCAAGATGGAAAGTAGTCATTACAGAACTTCTTTAGAAAGAGACATTCTGAAACCCCCCCTGCTCAATGGCTTTGGACTGCTCAAACATGAGCTCTGCTTGGATGTCTCATATGGGAAAAGAAAGTCTTTTCTTTATAACTCTCAAACTGGAACAGGCTGCTTAGGGAATCAGTAAAGTCCCCATCCCTGGAGTTGTTCATGATGTGGAGATGTGGCACTTAGGGACATGGTTTAGTGGGCATGGTGATGACAGGTTGGTGGTTGGACTAGATGATCTCAGTGCTCTTTTCCAACCTTAATGATTCTATGAAATCCTTTCTTTTCCAGACTACTCAGCCTTAGCACCTCCCAACTATCTGCTGACCCTTGCAGTTAATCAATTTTGCATCGATCTATATTGCTGAGTAACCACCCTGTCAGCAGAGTTGTTTGGATACTGTGTCTGGACAGCCCTACAGACTACAGCATCTTCTACAGCTGCCTGCTATGACCTCTACAGCACACAAATTAGGGTCTTGTCAAAAAGCACTAATCCTAGCTGGCTACTGAGCCTGCTAATTCCTAATGGGATTTGCCCATCTTTAGCATTGAGACAGCTTAATGCTTTGTTTTAGAAGTAGTAGGACTATAAAAAGCCACACAGAGCCATGCGTAGCTGAAGAGCCAGATGTTCCCAGACCACACCCAGACATTTTTATAGGGAAAGGAAAGAATCAGGCTGGGAATAGTGAATCAGAGAAGTACTCAGTTTCCTCTGTAGATCCTAGAGCATTTTACCAGGCAGGAATAGTAAGGATAAGTAGGCTGTTAGCAGGATACAACAACTTTTATTAGTTCAAATGTGCCTAGGTATTCAGAAACCCAACCTTGTCAGTAGTTTTAAGTTTCAGTCCAGCATTTCACAATAAGCAGCAGGTTTTTGTTATTTTTCTTCCTTATCATCATTTTTTTTTTGAGATTTTAGCATTAGGATCGAGGACATTGCCTCACCCCCTTATGAACCTGAAATGAGACCCCATGCTGGTATTGTTAGCTCATGACATCATGAAGACAAATTGCATACCATGAGCATCAAATAGCCTCCAAGGCACAAACTGCTCATCCTTCGTAGCACTCATAATGAAGTGTGCCCTCTCTCCAAGGTGGCTGTTTTTTCTTAGTTTGTTCCCCTTTTGGGTGCAAAAGGGGAGCAGCTCTCTGGCGTAAAGTAAATACTCTGGTTTGCAGAAAGACCTGATGTTCAGATGCTTCTTTCCATTGTGCTTCAGAGGGATTTGCTCCATTATCGTAGACTCATAGAATCATAGAATGGCTTGAGTTGGAAGGGACCTCAAGGATGATCAAGTTCCAAGCCCCCGCCATAGAGTAGGGCCACCAACCTCCAGATCTGGTACAAGACCAGGATGCCCAGGACCTCATCCAATCTGGTCTTGAACATCTCCAAGTATAGAGGATCCACAGCATGCAGGGATACAGCTGGATAGGGGGAACAGGTTTCCCATTTCCTGCTCTGTCTCATTTGGAGCAAGATTTCAACCTGAGTTGTTCACACATTATGTTAAGAGCAAACACAGCTTTTAATCTCTGCCTTGCTAGTTCTTTTGGGTTAAGTGGTGCCTGAATATTTCACCCCCAAGAAATGTCCTGGTATATTCCTGGCTGTTCTGCATCCCTAAGAATAAAATAAATGAATTTTATGCATCTGCATGTACTATCATTCCCTGCACAACTGCTGAGACCACAGCAGGATATGAGCTGATTACAGCTGACAGCATTAACTTCATTAGCAGACGTAACAAAGGTTCATGCTTCTGGCTCTGAAGGTCCTGAATTCAGACTCTGCCAAAGGCCCAGGCTTGGACAGATGGTGCTAGAATAACACAGGGAGAAATGGGGTATATTAAGTGGTTGAGTTGGAGCAGAGCTGCACATATGTTAAAATAACCAATTTTCTCTTGTTTCATTTTCCATAGGGCTCCCTGCCTTGGTGGTTGCCATTTCTGTGGGATTTACTAAAGCCAAGGGGTACGGCACCGTGAACTAGTGAGTAATGGGGCTCCTCTTCCTATTCTTTTTTTCCAGTCTCATCTCCCATCATTTTGTCAAAAAAAACAGTCACTGGCCCGCAGGAACAAAGGTAGGAGCTAAATTCTCATTGGCTTCCCATGGAAGTAGGAATGATAGGAGCTGAGGGAGCCTTCTGACATCCTCAATTCATCAGTTCATCTGAATGCTGTGCACTTGTCTCATCCCTGCCCAAATGTCCAGGGGAAACCTTAGGATAGCAAGTCTTCAGAGAAGGACTTACTGTGTGACAAGAAGCAACCCTCATAGTTCAGTCTGAATAAGTGGAATGTTTGCACCATAAAGATGAGAATGCCAACAGTCAGCATTCAGATTTTATCTGCATTTGCTTCTGAATCATCTCTAATAGAATAC